TAGTAAAGAGTTTCAAAAGCAGATTGGAGAAGTAACTTACATCCAGTATCGACGATGAGCGACCATGTGGCACCTCCAATTACGACTGGGGCAACGTAGGAGACATCCTCGTTAGTGACTGCGCCAGAGCTGACTGCAGTAGCACGCTTGGCAGTGGTTGCAATACCGTTGACCTTGTTGATACGGGCTTGGCCTTTGTCGACGATGTTCTTGATGGAGCTGACATTGTGGTGTTTGGCCAACGGAAGAACGGCAGACTTGACTTGGGCAATTGGGGATGCCGATACGGCAGCGGCGCCGGCGAATGCAAGAAGGCTGGTGAACAACATGGTGCAAGAAGTACAGAACTGGTGAGGCAAGTCAAGGTAGAAGATGAAGCTGTGTGGATGAAGAGATAGAGGAAGATGGAGACGTCTTATTTATACTCCAAGACTCACCAGTGACCTGTGAACCTGATGCTTGATCTAACCCCTCTCCCCATCTCGGAAAGGAAGGTAACGATCAAAAGCTTTGATGGCGTATTATCACCATGTATTGCGTTGAATAACGATATGGGGTTTGTTTATTGAAACGAAGTATTTCAAAGACAAGACTTACTGTTCTTGGCAGGTCAGTATGGAAAAGGTTCAATGTCGGCATTTGCCATGTTAAGGGGAAGAAGTCACACTTCACAAATATACGTGAGTTTCTATTTCTGGGCTGTAGAAACCAGCTGATGGTGTTAATTTCCCGCACACATTCGGGTTAGTGAGAGGGGCAGCCGTTTTCATTCAAATTGATCTAATCCCGTGCTATCTCGAAATATCTTCACGAAGAAACGCCATCAGTTCAAAATACAAGCTTTGCTGGCGCTAGCCAAGTTGTAGCTTCCCGTCTCGGCGACGTATGCCACGCCGGCTCCACCACCGGCTATTAACATTTATGCATACTGGGATATTTTAACACCACTGGGTACTCTGCAGCAAGAACTCGAGCTTTCACGCCTTATCTGCTAATGATTTGATTGCCATATTCCTCTTTCCTTCCTAGATGGATATAAGTCAAAGCGTCCCCACCATCCCACCTTCCGCAATAGGAAGTTCTCTACCGTTCTTGCCTCGGTGCACTTTAATTTACTTTGCTTCTATGGACTCAAATTTAGATAACCTTACCGCCCATCTACTTAATTTGTCGATCGGCGGCTCTCCATAGTTCGAATTGTCTAGATCTAATCTTTTGCATCGATCGATTGATGTAATCTACAAGGCAAATCAAGAATGAAAAGAATCATTTATAGATGCCATATCCCGCAATCTGGCCATCTAAAGGTATCATCCAAGACATAGGAATGTATCAATGTTACCATACCCTCAATTGATCATTTGAGTGACATGTTCACTCGAGTTTCTATCTCACTTCAGTGCTCGCGATGAGTGACTTTTGTACTTTCTTTCTCTAATCCCAATCCCAATCCCAGTCGTTGAGTCAAGAAGACTATTCAATGATTTACGATGTGATCTACAATTAATAGAAAAGATGTTCATTGGATTTCATTAAGGGGGGGGTTAATCAATCATACAATTTACACAGGTCCTATTCACGCATGGGTCCTACCCCAAGTATAAGTATTAATGGTACCGACAGATATCTGGATTGGAATTCAATCAAAATAATTAACACAACAAAAATGGATGGTTCTACAACAAATCATCACCTATAGATTTACCACCAAGCCAATATCGCAATTTTACAATCCACCTCAATTTCTCCAATCGCAGATCATTATCTTATGATACCCCGCTCAACCCAGCACATGATTGAGAGCACCCCTCACTTTGACAACTTGCAGATACGATCTAATCCCCTGACATTAACCTCATCACCATTCCACAAAGGGGTTAGACAACTTCGTTTTCATCATTCATCGTTTGACTTGCAACTATCCCAAAGTACCATTTTTCTCTAAACAAGTGATTCGGATTCTATATCATCTTTCTCAACACGATCATTACAGCAATACAAAAAGTGAATGGAGACCCAAGCCAATAGTCTCAAGTTGTGGGAATTAAATCCCTAAAGATTCGGCTGTACTTACCACTAAATGACTTCATCTGGTTGAAAGCATCGTGAACAGGGTCATAAGAGCCGAACACTAATTATGCAAACGCTAGGCGTTACTGCACTCACTATCATGTAGTTTAAAAGAGTTTGTTGCAAATCTCAGCACATTGCTATGGAGGCAATGGCTCTTCGTATTATGATAGTAACTGAGGTTTAGATGAAAGGTTCAAACGCCAAGAGTTATCCAGAGATGCTGCAGCCAGAGTTATTTCGTATCAGATACGCATAGACATAAAGCCAATCTGCTTAGAGCCTGTTGCCCCGTGCCTTATCTGTGGTATATCTCATCTAGTAAAAAAAAGCTCTCGTTTGCTACAGGTTATCAAGGTCTCTAATAGTCCGGATTGTAGTCCAACAATAAGGTTTTGAATATCTAAAAGTAGTTAGAAATCTGAAAATAGTTCGATGTTCCAACTGAATCCAATATCCTAAAGATTTGAACGTTCTAATTGGTTTAGAGATTTGATAATTTTCATTGTTGGACTGCAGTCCGGACTATTGGACACCTTGCCTGAGATCATTTCAAGCGAAATAGGTAGAGGATTCCTTATAGTAGTAAGCAGACGAGACAACAGCAGCAGAGGAAATTGTAGCCAAAACAGTGGCGAGAACGGTAGTATGAGATAAAACATACTCAAAATGAAGATATGAGATGATTGAGACTTATTAGAAGATAAGATACCCAGCTTTCGATGAAGTGGGGATTGGGGAAGGAAATCATTCTGGGGGTGGGTTTTCACTATCTTTGTGGCTGTTCCTGTCCTTATTTCAAAACTCCAGGGGTACCTTCATACACAGAAGATAGAACTTGAGCTTCAAAATAAGAACTGTTTCTACTGTGATTGGGCGACATCAAGGTGTGATAGATGCACTAGGAAGAAGAGAGAAGGTGAAAGTGTGCTAGAACGCTAAGTGAGAGTGCCGAAGACTTAATTTTGTAGAGCTACGAGGCATGAAATCGCAGGCCAAGACGTGAATGATAGCACCAATACCCAATCGTCGCGAGTTGTAGTCAACGCGTGGGGTGTATAAAGGGGTTAAGATATCTAAATTACAAGGTAAGTCCCTGTGTTCGGAAATTTAAAATTTTGACGGGTCTCAAATTGAATGAAGCGAGGGTGGATGAGAGAATCTTAGATATAATTTATTACCTCGAGATTGACAATAAAAAGCGATGAACGGTATGGCCCCAACTCAAGAGAAGTAGTCTCAAAAACTTCTACGAGCCTACGTGCGAGACGATCAGAAATCCTCGCATCGACCATCGTAATATCACTCTTTTGGTGCTACCAGGAAGAGAGATTTGCAGCTCCTTATATCGTTTTTTAGGTAGTCTCGCAAGCGGAATATGGATGAAGGGATGTGAAGATAGAGTACTTATATAGATATGAAGATCGAGTTTAAAGATCAAATTCCCATTATCCACATGTTAAAAGCGCATACCCTATTTCATTGCATTCACGCATGGTATTCACTTGAAGATCGTATCAGCAGTGTGGAATCAACTACACAGCTAACGTGATTCAGTGAGTCGCTTGAAGCGCATATAAGGAAGCTCTGTACCAGGCCCATTCTCTTCTTTCCGGAGCCGCCTCTTCAATACGCAGCGAGAGTTTTTAGGCTGGCAAGTGATTACTATCGAATTTTGAGACCACACGGTAGACTAATAATGTAGTACGCAAAAGCGAGCTAAAAGTTCGAAATAATGATATGTTGAATCATATGTAGAAAACGACTAGGTTCATAAAATGGCGAATACATTGTGAAGAACGACGACGAGCATAAGAACAGTGCAGTCAACTGTTGTATTTTGATATATTGTTGTCACTGGACGCAGGCATGAATTTCCAATGCAAACTCTCATAGCTATCCTTGCGCTACCCGACCTGACTTGAAAATATTACAACATATTTGGATCTGTCAAGTATTGAGACCTTTAAGTCCAGCCTCATCAGTTATTTCATTCACTTCTCCGTGATCGTTTCATAATAAGATGCAGAACTACAGAGCTGGAGGCTTCATGGCTCTTTTATAGTGCCAGATTGAAATTGTATGGAGTAAATAGGTATGGGCATAAGTAGATGAGAGTTCGATCTACCAAAAGTGAAAAGAATAATAGACATACATTAAGTGAATTTCGTTGCAACACGCAGTGTGTTCAAGTGGTGTATATCATATGGTTACACGACGAATGCCGTGGAAGTATTGCTGAACGTAGAAAGAAAGAGCGCACTCAAGTTCTGGTCATCAATGGATGTTGAAAAGATTTCCTCATCATTCAGAACGATTGCTATCTCCTGGCAATGAAGCTCGATCAATGCAAGTTACATCGCTCTTGCAAATCTGTCTTTCCAGAGCACTGAACATCAGATAAAAGCATCGGCAGCAGAACGTGAGTGCAATGACATTTTCAATGACAGTCAGAAGGCCCTACGACGAGATAAAATGAGAATGCAGTCACATGCTAATGACCAAGCACTTGCCGAGTAAAGCGTACAACCCGTTCTCCGTAGCTGACAAGATGTTCACAGAAAGAGGTACTATGACACCAATTCACGAGCATGTTTGCGACCTTCCATATTTGATGAAGCCTGCGAACTATCCAGCTTCCTAGCCCAACTAACTTCACAACTAGTCTTCAGCGCATTATCTTTGTCGATGACTGGCCCTCGTAATACGCCCCTGACGCCCTTCAAAGCCCACGTGACAGACGGCAATAAACTTCAAACAATGCCAGCAAATAAGAGGACAAACCCATGTTATCAAATAAAATATCTCAATTAAATCCTTGGTATCAAGTACAATACATCCAAACATATATCACAAGTGTGCTCTAGCCTTCAGCGCCTGTCTTCTCTTCTCTCTCCTCTGCAATTCCTCCTTGTCCTCCTCCGACATCCCTATATCCCAGATCCTTCTGCAAACAATGTCTGACCCAATTCATCAGCAAGTCTCAAGACTCTTGTTGATACGGTTGCCCCATCTCGTCTATTCTTTCCTTCTCGCCTCGACTTTGCGATCTTTTCAATAAAATCCCATAATTTTCCTTCTGCGATTATCATACTAGTTTCTGGATTTCGCTGTGGTGTCCATTCGGGAGCAAGTCGAGATCGTGGTGGGATCTTGGAATTTCTACTCTTTGATACTATTACAATGCCTTCATCTTCAAATCGCTGATATGCATTTTTAAGTGTTTCTTTATTGACGGCTTCGAAGTAAGATAGGTCACCTTGGTGATAAAGAGTTTTGCCAAGCTTGAAATCATTAGCAAGTAGTCATAGACGACATACGACATAAAGAGACTTACCAATTGAGCGCCGTCATGAGCTTTCTTGACTTCCAACCAAACAGCATTTGGTTTGCTTGGAGGTGGTGTAAAGCCCATAAGGGAAACAGCACCAAGCCAAAATGCTTCGACGAATGGCCATATCAAGAAACAGTAAAAATCGTAGTTTTCACGTCCAACGGAACGTTCATGGTCAGATAAACCAACAGTCAATATTTTCCCTTCTGGATCTCGGATAAGTTCAACAATATTGTCGGCTTCTAAGTCGTGTAGAGTGTTGTCCAGGTTGACAACCAATCCTTCTGTCGGGTAGATAAATTCACCTCTAAATAGCTGAGAGAGAAATTGAACTTGACTTCGAAGGTCTTCATATGAGATATTTTGGTGAACTTTCCCTCCGCCACGCTTTACGTTCATGTACATACTGGCGCTAACTAGTGCTTCAGATATGAACAGATGTATTGTCATGTTTCGATAGAAAGAAAGCTGAAATCGATCGACAGCGTAGTATGTTTCTTCTGCCAACCCATCAACCCTGCCTACAAGATCTTTACCAAGAACCTCAAGAGCCCGTTCAACAACTGTAGATGTCGTAGCGCCGGCAAAATGAGCTACTCGCCCACCCTTGTTCCTAACTCGTTCACTGATCCATTCAACTCGACGAATCAACTCAGATTTTCCAACACCGCGACCTCTCAAAGTCAATAAAACTGTTCCAACCAATGCAGTAGGCATGACAACCGAAACTGCATTGATATCGGATAGAACTTTGTAACCCAAAGTTCTCAGTAACTTTTGCCGAATACTAGGTACATTGATGCTTTCAAAATCAAGCGTCTTTGGTATTCCCAGCGATCGAGCTTGTTGTTGTAGGATAAAATCTCGTAAACTCCAAGGCTCATGAAATCGGACATCCACACGACCCAATTTTAGGGAAAGTACTGATGATGCCGAGAGGAAATCTGCTAAATTTTCCTTCTTCTTAGGGATTCCAAGTAGCTCACCAACATAGCCTTCGGTCTCGATGACTTTATCATACTGGGTGCTGACAGGACATATGATTGTATCCTTGACTCGACCTGAAAGAATACTATCCAGGATAAAACTCAGAATACCGAATTTGGGAGGTAGCAACTTTCCAGTTCTTGATCTACCTCCCTCGATGAAACATTCGAAATTATAACCACCTTGCAGAAGGGTATCTATGTATGACTGTACAAGAGTGGTATACAGAGCATCATCTCCGAAACTTCTTCGTATCCACATAGCCCCTATAAAATTATTATATGTCAAGAGCGTTCGAGGATATTGACTAACCAGCATGTTGTAGAAAGCTCCCTACGACAGGGAAGTTAAGATTATCCCCAGCTACAACTGTTGGTAATGCGATACCCAGTCGATAGCAAATCAGTTGCAAAGAAACATAATCTACATGAGATCTATGACACGGAAGGAAAATTATGGATGTTTTGTCTTTTTGTGCCTTTTCGGCAACATTTCGTAATCTAAGGACTTCCTCGCTGGACACATGAATGCCTACATATTCATTAGTGAGAAGATTTGGGACCATGTGAAATTCACTTGCCTTGATGATATGCTCTTGTCAACAGCTGGGTGCATAGGTAATAAGCTCCTCGAATAAATGGCCTACTTTCCATTTTGCATATCATATCGCTCGTCAATTTTTCTGAAAGCTCTTGCAAACTTTGTTCGATGGCAGACTTTCTCTGCGATCTTTTCGAATGGTATAATGGATCATCTTTATTCAATAACCCTTCCTGCTCCTCAATCCCTATCCGTTTCTCGGCCAATTCAGATATTCGTGTTTGTAAAATAGGTGTAGACATGACCGCAGCTGTCATATTTTCCGAGAATCCAGGATAGAATATAGGTTGTCCGATGAAATGATCGTAGGCACGCCATCCTGTCTAGAAGAGCGTTAGATATCAGCAATGGATGATTTAGACCCATCGGCGAGAGTACTTACTCCTGAAACATGTAAAGAGACCTCTCTCAGAAATTCCAAAGGACTTGACCTGAACCTAGCCATATGCTCCACCAAATTCCTTTCTTTCTCTCCATCGTGAGGTCTTTCCGGAGGTTCGATGTAACCACTAGGATGCAATGTTACTTGATCACCCAGAATTTCAAGATCAGGAGCCGAAGTCCTTGGAGGAGATGAGGTTTTGTTGTCTGCCATGTTGATCGATGTGGGAAGGTGATGTTATCATATTATCGTTGTCGCACAGTGTTATCGAATGCCGAAAACAAATACACGCATTATTATCGCAAGCCTGCTAGATGTGATGAAGCATTGTTGATTAAATATTTAAGCCTCGGCGAGGCACGCCGGAGCGCGCCATCCATTGCCTTGAGGATCACAGCGAAATCTGGGGTCACCAAAACTAGTTTAGCGTTCATGTCTTACTGCGGAACTATGTGTTAGCATGTGAATTTTGGTAGCTCTAGGCTTGTTCTCAAGCTTTTGATATTTTTGCGACAAATCTATTTCAACAACGAACAAAAGATAACGGAACAGAACAGAACAGAACAGAACAGAAAAGATGGCATCGAAGGATAACAATATAGCGACGCAATTGTTATCGCGAGCGCATTCACCTGATACTTCGAGTCGGATATTCACCGAAAAAGTCAAACAACGACCATTACATCTAAAACCCACAGAACCAAATAATGAACAACAGCGTCGTCGTCTCGAAAGACAGCGAAAACTAGCTCTACGAAAAAAGAAATTGAAGCCTGCCCCCCTATCTGCTCGAGAGAAACGCGCTCTATGTCTATACGATGTACCTAAATCGGCCCAGAAATATAACATTTACGAACCTTTAAATAAAATGTGGTTAGGATATATTTCCGAAGTGCTAGGAGGAGAAAATTGCATGCCAGTTACTGGATCTGCGGCTGCTAAATTATGCAGTGCGGATTATCATGGAGCGGAACTTGAGGTTGTAAGAAGTAGATGTGTGAGTAGAGTTGGTGTGAAGGGAATTGTTATCAAAGATTCCAAGGGGGTTTTCGAGGTCATTACGAAGAATAATGATTTGAAGGTTCTGCCAAAGGAAAATACCATTTTCAAATTCACAGTACCAATCCAAGCGACTAAGAAAGACATCGAGTCAGAAAATGATGGAAATTCTGTCACAGAACTGGTCTTCGAGTTACATGGTGAACAATTTATGCATCGAGCAGCAGATCGTGCAAATAAGAAATTTAAACCACATTTCTTACCTCATGTATGAAAGATCAAATTGGCGGATATTTTATCTCGAGGTCTCTTGATGGAACGATTTTCCAGTTACCCTTCTTCGCATGCGATGGCTCGCCAGATCCAATACAACAGTCTTGTAGGATTTCACAAAAGTTCAAAGAGCGTTAAGATGGGTGTTGGAGATGTAACTTGGATATCACCAATACTCTATTGAGGAAACACTCAATCAACAAACAAGGCATTCCATAAACGCCGTCATCATCTAATCCTCTTCTCAGTCCACCGAAATAAGCAATTATAGCCACCATACGACCCAAACTCCAGGCATATTATACACAACAATTTTTACATGAACTTCGCTCAAAATCAAATCATACACAACCCATCCCTCAAACCAAATCCTTCGAAACATGCGCTGGTGCTGGTTGTGCGATCCCGGACGATTGCTGAGAAACAACTGTTTCCCCATTCGCCGGCGCATATGAGTAGGCCGGCAAATTCACATCATCCGCAACACTGTAAGGTGGAGCTGCCGCATTCGCTCCCGGTCCATTATGTATCTTTCCCGCGTATTGCGTGCGTCTTTGTCTTCGTCTCCGTGAACCGATCGTCGTCAAGGTTACTATGATAATGAGGAAAACCATGAGGATGATCACGCTGATAATTACGTGGATAGTGACAGCACTCTTCTGTCCGGAGCTGAAATCTCGTTCTTGTGAATCCGACGGTGGTTGAGGATAATCGCTACCGACATTTGCCATGGCCATAGGAAAAGCGAGGAGGAGGATGGGAAGGATATTCTTGAGAGCGGACATGTTGATTGAGGATACAGGATCGTATTGAAAGATCAATAAGATGTAGTCCTGAAATCCTATTGCGCACAATAGAGAATCGAAAGAAATTTCAACCTTGAATTTTACACAATATCTTCAGGCAAAAATTTCAAAGTCTTTCCGATAAACCAAAATAACCAAGAAAAAAAACTCCCTTCAAAAAAAACAACTCACAACCACTCCATATACCAAATCTTACCGTCTCCCTTCCCATGCACCTCCCATCCCTCACCACTCTGCGCCTCCCCCAAACCCCATCTGATACACTCAAATGCGTGGCTCTGCTCACACCATTCGTTTCCTCTCCAAATCATCTCATCTCATCCATCCATCCATCGAAATATGACATTCCTACCCAAACTGTTAGTATGTATAACATTGTCTTGCATTACAACTGTTGTCCGAAAGGTTTCAGAAGTAAGATAAGAGAGAGGCACAGTATTTATGCACCTGTGGTAAGTTGTAACGTATTGAAGTATTTATATCAATTATGCGTAAATGTGTAGAATCGAGGCTGTGTGGTCATATTTCTAGTTTGGAGGTAGTGCTTATGGATTTGGTTTGATTCGATTTGATTTCATATGATGTGAGTACCTACCTACCTAGGGAGTAAGCGCTCGGTTATATCAGGGGGTGTCGAGGGTCGCACACACCTAATAGTATATAGTATATATGAATTATGCGTGATATGTGACGTGATGTTTCATGTTACCTATGTTATGTCATGATAGATGTAGGGCTGCACGGCTGATTTCTAGGGCTTTTCTATAACCTTACCAACATAGGTGCATGGTAGTATACTTGCTACCTACCTAGATCCGCAATGATACTGTTATTTTGTATCTTGGTTAAGTACCTAGCTACCAGTAAGGTACCAAATCAAATGATCCTTTATCTTCAAACGGCGTGATCGTATACCTACACCAATCATGAAGAGAAACCTCCAACCCTAGGAATTCTGATCAATACCGCAGCAACATTCTCCATTACAGATCTTCTTCTGCCTGTTTCAATACTCTGCTCTCAACTTCAGATTATCAAACATGATTTTCGTCAAGTCACTTCAGATTTTCAGATTGTATAAGGAGCCTTTTTTGAGCTATATTTATCATTTGTTTCTCTACCATTGAACTGTTCAATTACCCATCCAGGGATATATATATAGGTAAACCTTTGACATCGTCCCAGATATAATTTACCCATATCTTTTTGAATGCTAGGTATTCCTTCAACTTCAGTCTCAACTCTTGTCCATCCCCTGTCATATTGTACAACATTTCCAGATATCATCTGACCAGATTCAGAAGACGTTCATGGGTATTACCTTCATTGATCATTCTTCGATTATTCGGTCTCGGTAAAGTCGTTTTGTACTCCTGACGCCGTGAAATTGTCGGTTGTGGGAAAGGATTTTGCTAGATTGCATAGTTCCTCTATTCGTACCGAATCGCCGCTCAATACCATAAACTAATAAGTTCCTCACTAACAGCACTTGGAGTCAAAGCCCCCGATTCGGTGATAAGTGCGGATATCAGAGCTGGAGGCTGCAAAATAGTTAGTATCATATCAAATCCAGATAAAAAATACTTACTGTAAAGTCCACCGCATCAACAGCATCCGGTCTCGATATGTTAATCTTGCCTGCCTCAAAATATTCCGATCTCTCCTCAATTTTTGGAGTTTTATCCCCCTCGTCATCCTCGGTACGGAAATCAATAATCTCTTGATCAATACCAAGATCATATTGTCCCAAAGGATATAATCGCACAAACTTGTGACTTTCCGCAGCGACATAAAATGGTTTTCCTGCAGCTTTCGCCAATAATGCGATTTGATATGTTCCCAATCTCGAAATGACTCCTCCATTTTCTACCACACCTTCTGCACCGACAATAACTAAATCGACTTTGCCCATAGCGTATCCAACAGCACCTTCTGATATTGTAGCAACTGGTACACCTTTAGCCCTTAATGATGTAACCACGGCTTTACTCTCTGCGCTCCTAGCATCATTCATAACGTAAATGACGTTAAACCTAACATTTCCACCAGTAGCTCTCGACTCCGCAGCTTTATCTAGTAAAGCTCCCACAACTCTACTTCCTCCATGAGTCAAAACCACACTTCCATCTCTAACAAAGTTTCGTCCATAAGTAGCAATACTATATCTAGCCTGCTTTGCTCTCGTAACAAACAATCTTCCATTACTCAAAAGATGCTGTCGCACTGTTTCAAAGTTTCCGGTGCTTGAAGGTTTTAAGGATTGTATCATATATCTTTGAAATAAATCCGTTCCGGCAGACAATGATATAGAATTCGGAATGCGAGATTTCAAATAATCGGACTGGGTTTTGACTAAATCGAGAGTTTCGTAAACGGTGACTGCGCGAGAGCAGGCCAGAAGTTCGATGAGTGCTTCGATTGCAGCGACTGGCATAGTAACATCGGGGTCATCGTTGAGAAGTCGATGGTAAGTTTCTACTATACTGATAGAGGGGTTATGAGTCAGTGAGGGGTTCTTTAGAGAATTGTGTATAGAGAGATGTACTCGAATTGTTTTGAATCCTTCTTTTGAGGAATATTCCCTATGGAAGCCATTTTCTTCAAGGCAGGAGGATATCCAGAAAGTGCCGGTGGAGTTGTACTGCGAAAGCTTTCTTCGAAAAGAGGTGTTGCTAATGAGGAGGGGAAATTTTGTTAGCAAGAGCAAGGCTGTGACGCACCACAAAATGGATTTTCGACGGCGCAAGAGCTAGCTAGAGCAATGGTTGATCAAAATCGCATTGACAATTTATAGATTTGGCATACCTGGTTCTGGATCCATTTTTGGTGTATGTTTATCCTTTGAATTTCTTCAAGATTCCAAGTCGGTTTGTAAAGATTCCTCAAAAATTACTCGTTATATGGAATATCAATAGAGTCATGAAATTCTTTGTAAATGCAATTGATGACTCCAAGCATTATCGAAACAATGAATTCATAATTAGAGAGGGTAAGGATTATATCAGCCAATCAGAGGTCATTTCACGTGTAGCCTTACGATACAACGATAGGCTGTGGGGAAAGAAGGCCGAACACCTAGCATCTCCTCTAATGGAGTGAATACATATCTACATACCATGTAGAACCTTCAGCTCTTTCTTATCACTCATAAAGACAAACATCGGGAACCTCAAAGAAAGGGGGTTGTCTCAACTGATTCGTTTTTCTGATAATGATATAGGAAGAGATCCTCCGACCCAGCAATAAAACAACTCCCCCCAAAATCATGGAAACTATAGACCCCTCCACAGGTAGACCTCTACCACCCGATGCACTCCAACGAATCCTCTTCATTGCACCTTCAGTCCACGTCTATAACATCCCACCTCTTACCTCGAATAAAGGCTACGTAGCTGCTACCTGGACTGCGGACAACAACAAACGACAAATCTTCACTGCGCGAGTTCGTATTCTCGAAACAGCTATCCCGGATAAAAATGGCGAGGAGAAGGTCAAAGCAGATATCTTACTAGAAGACCCAAGTAACGGACAGCTATTTGCCGCAGCTCCATACACAGTAACGGGCGTGGTAGAACAAGTACTGGATAGTTCACGATTTTTCGCAGTCAGAGTACAAGGAGAAGGAGGAATGAAAGCGGTTCTGGGAATAGGATTTGAAGAGAGATCGGAAGCATTTGATTTTAGTGTGGCATTACAAGAAGTGAGGAAGACGTTGGGGATTGAGGAACAAGGAGGAGGAAAACCTCCATCTGCGGGAACGAAGAAAGGAGAGGAGAAATCAGAGGTGAAGAGGGATTTTAGTTTGAAGGAGGGAGAGACGATTACGGTTAATATTGGAGGGAGAGGTGCGGGTAGGAGGACACCCAAAAAGAGTGAAGAGTCTGAGAAGGGGTTGGGTGGGTTTTCTTTACCTCCTCCGCCGGGTGGAGGAGGCATGGGCGCATTTTTACCACCACCTCCAAGTGCACAGGCGATTAAGGCTCAGAAGAGATTAAGTCAGAATAATATGGAGGCACCTTCAATACCTGAACCATCTGCCGAGGAATTAGGGTTTGATGACGGAGAGTTTGGAGAGTTTCAATAGAGGACTTTTGATGGACAATCGTGAGCAAGCTAGACAGATGGATATGAAGACTCAAGCGAGATGCCCAAGGACACGAGAGGGGAAAGAATAGGGGAATTGGGCCAAGGAATAATGAGAATTCAATCTCTCGCCAATCGAGAGCGATAGGAATCTTCAAGGCCTAGTACTGACTGTCGTCTGCAGGATGTGAACTGGGGTTGATAATCGGGTGTACAAGAGGACTTTCCTTTGGACCAGAGCCTACAGTCTTCACAAAAGATTCCAAGAAAGATCAAACAAACACATTCACACAGCAAGATATTTCAATCCTCGTAATAGGACAATATCCAAGGCGCCTAGAGAATGGAACGGAGTTCAAAGGATCTAGATCTACAATGAAATTTAAGTTATTGTCATTCTATTAGATATCAATGAATAAAGGCCTCAACCATTATTATCCATGCAATTTTCATGTAACGAGATGTAATTCATAGTACGGGTATACACTTACTATATCCTCAATATAACTTTGAAACAATGAAATATAAAATCCAGAAACCGCCATGTAAAACATCAATTCTATGTACAATCCGCATAAAATACCCAGGTATGTATATAATGTTACAAGAGATCTCCAAAGCAAAGAATACACATATACCATCTGATAATAATCCGAATCTTCCAACAAGCAGAACTTTTCATCCTGTTCCCCATTTCATCATCCTATACAATTCATTCCACTCTATCCCCGTCCATCTATTCTTATCCGTCATGCCTAGAGTCATCCAGAACATCCATACATCATCATATATCCAACTCCAAAAAAGTCAACGTCAACATCAAAATTTCTACAAACAACCCCTACCAAACCTGATCAATCTCATTCCTCTCCTTCAAAACTTCCTTCCCATACAACTTCCCCTTACCCCCACAAACCCCCTCCCACCGCTGCCTCTGCAGACCCGGCAAACTTTTACTTTTCTTCTCCCTCTTCCCCCCTTCTTTCCCACACAACCCTCGCTTTCCCTCCCCATCCACCCCCTCCTCACCCGCCCCATCAAAAAACGCCAACATCACATCATTACAACTCTTCGCGCCTCCCATCGGCGACATCCTCGCGCTCTGCTGCGGAGTCGGCGTCGTAATCGCCGTTTCAGTCGAAGAATCTCCCGCTTCTCCCTCCCCAGACCCAGACCCAGACCCAGAACCCTCTCCTTCTTCGCCCATTTCCATCTCATTCCCCTCCTTATCCCCACCCCTAATCTCCATGCTCCATCTCAGAGAAGATCCTCTTCTCTCTTCAGCTAATGGCGATAATTCACATTCATCCCACCCCCTACTAAGTCTCTCAACTTCTCCATTCTGCACTTTCTGCGGTAAACCAGAAGGAGCCGTAGAAGTAGAAACAGAGATAGAAGAAGAAGAAGGTTTAAAGAAATTAACTGGTGAAAAGACAGGCGCGTCCGTATTCCAAAACTCATTTGAATATTTTCTTCCCCCTACACTCGCCTTCGAATCTCCAGAACAAGCGCCACCAAAACTGACGCCGCCAACGGGTTGAAACGCAGGAGTGCTCGCATTCAACATTCCCCCATGTCCATATCCACCACCACTATATGCACAGCCACCCTGGCCAATAGCACCACCCGCCCTAACAAAACAATTCCAATACCCCCTCTGCCACTCCATCATCTCCTCATTAATCCTTCTCTGCTGTTCAATCTGCATCCATCTCCATCTCCTCTCCTCCTCTTCCCCAATCTGCTGCAACCTTTCCATCAAAATCCTCTCCTGTCTCGTACACTCCTTAATCCGACATTTCAGCCACGAGATTTGTTTCTTCAGTTTGCGACGAGTGGGCGCCGAGTGTGGTGTCGTGGGTGTAGAGATGGAGGAGAGAGGAGATGTGATACCTATCCCCGTACCCTCCAATTCCGCAGCTAGGTGTATGGAAGCGAGACTAGTTTCTGCCGCTGCAATTTTCTGTCGTAGGGAAAGTGCTTTGAAGTTTTCTCGAGAGAGTGATAGGAGAAGATAATGATGTTCTGGGTTGAAGAGTTGAGCTTGGTATGGTTGTGGTTGAGGGATTGCAAAGGGATGGTTTTGAGTTAGAGGGAGAGCGGATAGTGGATTGATCTGGTTATGGTGTGCTAAAGGGGGGGCTGAGACTGGATATGCAGAGTTGAGATTTTGAGGATTCTGAGAATGCTGAGTGGGACAAGGTTGTTGAGAGGGCGGCGCGAGATCTGTTACTAGACTTAGGGATCTACCAAGAGATTTACCACGGCATGGTGATGTGGTCTCCTGATCTTCCATTGCATATAATGAGTTTGCTAACAGAATTTTGTTTGCTTTCAGATACGATTGGAAATGATATTGCTTGTTACAAGAAGTGAGTGAAAATATATAAATTCGATTTTCAAAGAAGTCAAATGAATGATGCTGCTGAGGGAGGATACACTGATGCTGTCTGAAAATTTGGCACAACAAGTATATAGCAATCTCCAATAAAGGAAAAGCACTAGTAATGCCGCCCAGAATCGTAGCGAATTGACTTACCGAAAGAATATAAAAAGTCTCAGATTATCTAACATACTCACTAATAGAGGGGTAACAGGAAAGTAAGACTAAAAGGCTTTCACGAAAACTTATGATGGACCGGCGTTGTCTCGAGATTAAAATTAGATTTCTCCGCGTCGAATTGAACAAAGAAGCAGGATTACCACGAGGTCGCTACCAATTAAGTCGAAGATGTAACATCGTTTCTTTGTTAAAGAGATCCACCCCTCGTTATAGGTCGAACCATCCTTCTTTCAAGAGGGCTAAAAGACTCGGATCAGAAATGAAAGGGTTAAGGAATAAACCGAAATTGGTGCCTGAGTAGCTTCGAGAATCGTGGGGAGTGTTCTTTATGCTTGGTATTCCGGACAAGCCTCCGTACGAGTTATGACCAATAGCAATCAAGGTGTGTACTTGAAAGGCAAGCCTGATCTCCGTAAATACCAAATAGTCTTCTAGATCGATTTTTCCCATTCGTGAAAATCGGTTTGTACATGGCTGGATATTTCCATCACGGAAATGCCATAAAACAGATTCTTATTTATCCTCAAGTAGAGTACTTATCTTCGACAGCAACTACACCATCAATTTTTGTGGCTGGTTTGATATTAGTGTCCTTTGACTCCAAGACGGAAGTTGCCTTTGGTACCAAGGGCGCTGGCGGTTCCAGTGGCTGCTCCAGAGACTGCAGTGGCTCATTTCCTGAACAAAATAAATCCCCTACAAGCATGTGGATTCTTTCTTTCTCTGCCACTCCATTGGAACATCCTCCAATTTCGTGCCTAAAAATCCGACTATAATCCTTGGCTTTTAATTGTAGCTCTTCGTTGTTAATACTCTCACCGTCCCAACCAATCAATTGCATTTCAGCTATTTCGACAGGTAAATCCGACAGAAGAGTTTGCAAAGATGCTGAAATCAATGGCTCCTCCTTGTGTTTTAATGATAGATGCTCGGTTGGATTTGCTGTAAAATCTGTTGCTTCATCTAGTTCGTTCGTGTATTCTTCTGGAGCTGTGTATAGTTCTGTATGAATAGTAGATAAAGCATCCCAACTTTCAAAATGAGGATAAAGGGTCCAATAGCCACGTGCCCTTGCTAATCTAAGAACATATTCTAGCCACGATGGGTAGGTTTTGCTGACATATTTTTCTCCCAAAGTGGCTGGTGGGGGTAAGGTATGTTCGGAAAACATCGATCTAGCTATGAAATCATGGAGTTCCACCCATTTATCTCCGAAATAAAGAGCAGCGTTGCTATTTGGAGCTTGCCATAGAAATGGACTAGGGTTTGTACTTGACGGTGGTGTAAATGACGTTGAATCATTGAGATAAGTCGTTGGTAGATCAAGACTTATCCCAAGCATATTCTTCTGGCCGGTTGCTCTATTGTAAGAGTATCTATACTCTAATAGTGCAAATTTGAGGTAATGAAAGAAGAGTGGGGAAAGTTCGACTTGAGGAGAAAGAACAAGAACATGAGCGGACATAGGGTCCGCAGGCCAAAACGATTCCATGAATTTGATCGAATTTTCTTCGGGAGTGAGTCCGTGTTGTGGGATCCGGTGATGAAGTGTCAGGAGACTAGTCTCATCTTGACTACGCTTTGGTGGCCACTTAAATTTTGAAAGATATTGTTTAGTAGATTCATCGACGTCATGCGGCAATTCTATCGTTAATCGCGGGATGTTGCTGGAAAAATAATCGGCTTTCTTAAGTGATGTGAGCAACCTGATCAAAGATCCAGATTTTTGTGGTTGCGCGTGAACAACTATATCAATGCTGATTTTGGTCCAGGCTATAGATATTAGCTAAATGGAAACAGTCACTTTTAAAGATGTACTCACCACTCAATGCGGCACTATCTAATTGAACAATCCACATTAGATTCTGTTCAATGTTTTTAGGAAGTTCAATCAAGGTTCTGTCTAATGCGTTGGCCCTGGTCCTAAAGGCGGAGAGTAAGAAATTGTCCTCATCCGAAGATGCGTCAATAAGAACAGCTTGAGGATGGACGAATGTATTGATATGATTGAAACCTGCAGAACAACTGACTTCCATCCGGAAATCTGAGCTTTGCAGGGAATAATCTGGTCGTGCGTCTAATCATGTTAGAATATCAAACAAACCCTTAGGAAGGAATTCATACCATGAAAGAAGATCTGGCAATCCTTATTGACCCCATTGACAGATTTCAATATATCCATCGGTATGTCATCTCTTCCCATAAATGCAAAATGTACATAATTTCTTTCTCTCAATGCCATCTCGCATGCAATCGGTAACAAAGTCGAAGCGCTTTTCAAACTCGAGGCCGCAAATAACTAAGGACTTTATTAGCAGTGAAACACCATATTAATTTGCCAAACCAAGGACATACCACATTATTATTGACAGGATCGGAACCTTTGACTTTAGACATTGCATGTAAAGTTGTCGCCAATTGATAGAATTTAATGGGGCCATTAAAGTTGTGGCCTATCTCGGTCGATTCATCATCATCTGGTTTAGGAGCTTGATTCGAATTGAGCTGCGGAGATGGAGCTCTCGAACCAGCTTGCGCAGGAGCTCCTCCATTCTGAATATAATGTGGTCTCTGTCGCGGATTCTGAAGATCTGTCGGCATATTCTTATAGAAGTAATAGAGACCAATTCCAACCAGCAGACCTATTATAATCTTCTTCATTGATCGACGCTGAACATGTGGCCTTCGATGTTGCCATGCCATTCCCAATGGCGTTTTCGAGCCAGGCCTATGATCATCGTCTCGTTTCCCCAGTTCCACATCACCATGGAACAGCCTTGGTGGGAGAGGCATTGTTATGTGCGCTTCCCACACTTATTAAAAGGAAATAGCCATGCGAACAATTAGATTGGATTGTGGAAGTGTGAAAGTATAGGTAAGGAAGGCAAGAACTTCAGTTGAATCTCCACATAAGGATATACAGGTGATGGTAGAATTGCGATTCAACAGTACAAAAGATCAATGGAAGGAGTGTTCAAAAGAAGAAATGATGGATATGAATGAAGTTCGTATTGATTTGATATTATCTGAACTCTAAGATAGCTCCTGGTGCTCGAGTTTAAGGTTATTACATACACATAGACAATGCACGGACGTTTTGATGAGACTTGGCATTATTGATACAGACATTGCCGCAAACATCAAAACCCCATTTTCCTTTGCCAGCGGGATCCCACTTGCCCTTTCCTCAAATTCGCCCCTCCATACCCTCCATACCCTCCATAAAACATACTTATACTTAGTCTCGCTTATGTCATCTCGGTTTTCCCAGACATCATCAAACCCTTTCAACATCGCTAAAAAAACAAAAAATAAAAAACAAAAAAAGAGCAACACTCCATACTTGACACGACTTCCAACATAGCAGCGTCAAAAATTTGCAAAAATACATATTTGTGACCAGACTGGGGCACGATCCCAGGACCTTGTCCGTATTTAACAGATTTGAGTTGTTAAGGACACGTGATAACCAACTACACCATCCGGCCTATTTAATTGATTGTCATCTGGCTTGTTTAGATATATAATACCAGTTTGTGGATCCGAGAGTTTCTCTAATCTACCCCACCAACATGCACATATCAATTGATCACCAACAGAAAGTGATCAATTTTCCTATTTCTCTCATTGTAAGAAGGCTCGAGGAAGGGTGGTGCTCCGTGAAGTTGTTGTGATTCATTGATGGCTGTTTCTTTTTATATGCTTCGTTACAGGCGTCATCTTTCGAATCAAGTAGAAGGATCTCGAGTGGAAGAGCTAGTGTCTTACGGTTGAATTTGTCCACGGTGGGAATTTTCTAATGATCGATGCCATTCAGTTCACCATTCCATATTATTTCGACACACATTTCAATCAGTCATATTAAATCCCCTGAATGTCGTTGAAATCGCTGTGGAATTTTACCTCAACAATACAACAAAATCACCATTGTCATTCTTGCTATTTAATCATGAGTATGATGTTCGGTTATAGCAGAACCACAATCGGAAAGAATACTTCTGCTAGATGTATCTCTATTCAATCTAAAACTCTCGAATCTGAGACCCATCATTAGTCCTTCATCAAACTTCATGGCGTTTGCTAATTCCCTCGCTAAACCTCGACGCGGGCCATTATCAGACCACATTGGAAGTATCCGAACAAATTTCCTAACATGACACAATAATTTCCTCCGTCAGGAGTGGGCTCTCCTTCATTCTCTGCAGCTAACTTCAACAAACTCTTCATATAATCTTCTACAGACGAAAGTGCAGCCTCACCCGAACCACGACTCTCATTGAGCAATTTCAAGACACCATCAGATCCGACCGAGTCAAAAACATCAGTAAACTGAGCCTCCCCCCTCCATTCTGGATCAACACTGATCTTGTAGGCGCTCCATTTCCTGATTACCTGGATCATGTCGACATTGTACTTCTTTGCTACACGTGGATTCTCTTCGAATATCGTTAGCAAGCTTGAAGCTCGGCTGAGCTTAGCAGCCCTGTCCAACTATTTTCGAAGATTAGAACGACGCTTTAGATGTCTTGAGAAATACCATACTGAAACCCGCGCCAATAAATGAAACTTGGATGCCATGATTCTGATGTCTTCGATGGTTCTGGCTTTCTTAGATACCGCTAATGTACGTTTCAGGGCCAAGGATAGGGTCTCGGGTGAGCTCATACAGTCCTTGACGTAGTGCTCTACAGGCCCAACAATCTAAGGAAATGATGTTGGTATTAGCGACCACGAATGCCCTTGAAGTAATTGAGAGAGTTGGTAAAATATAACTTGAAGATAGACGTACAGCTTGCTTGTTATCCATTGCGTGTAGTGTGGCAGTGGTGGCTTTAAGATTGTGAGGCTTTAGTGCTTCGGTGGTGACAATGAGTTGATAGGCGTTGAGATTGTCTGCTGTCACTTTTGAGTTTGCGAAATGAGAAAGTAATGAAAAAATCTGAACGAGAGAGTAGTTGGGAGATTAGATAGGTGCCCGGCTGCAAAGTTCGCTTCTGGGAGTGTTTGAGTATTGCGCTATATTCGCTTATTTACTGCGCGTCCCATACAGCTCGTGTAATTCACATAGAAAAGTGAATATGCTTATTACTTGGTAGCTTGCTGGCCTCATATCATCTTTCATTGTCCCAATCTGGTATTCGAAACAACTGATCTCTCGATCTTCAAACCTACCGGCTTACCTGCCTAGCGATAATCAAACTATTCATACCATCTCTTAAATCTTTGAAACCTCCCTCCACAAGACAATATTTCTTTCCTCAACTTTCCAACCATTTTCTCAACCCAATTTGCAATTTACCTCTTTTCGCTAAAGCCTGTGGCAACGATCACCTTTACTTTTTGCTTCTTGAATCAAATGGGAAGACTTCCAATCAGGAATTTTCAGCACAATCAATCACTTTACCCTTTGAATCAAGTCGAAGATTTACTATCAGAGTAGGTGTATCCATCAGTATTGAAATACAACGATTATCTGACTTGAGTAGCCAAGATGACCAAAAGAATCAACACCAGGCCTGACCCTTACATAGTCGAAGCTGCTAAGAGAGAATCAAAAGTGATCAGCTTGATCATGAAAGTAGATGAATACGTTCGATGGATCCTGGCAGCACAACCCACGACACCGAAACATTCAGCAGGAACACCATCGTAAAGAAGCGAAAGCGATCGACTTCAATCTCCAAAACAAACGATGCCAGTACCGAGCCTGAACCCAACCACCGCTCTGGAGAGAATGTATCTACTTTCACCGTAGACGATCCAACGACATCGTTGAATGCGAGAAGGATGGCAATGGATAAAACACAGAAAACAATGCCATTTAATGAGAAAATGAAGGAGATTATAGCTTCGAAAAGGAAACATATTACTTAGAGCATTGATAAAAATAAAATTGGACGCACTCGGGTATTAGCGTTCGGCGCCAGGTAACTTCCCTTTAGCAGTCTAGAATATTTTCTGAGATGACTTACTTTTATTTCGAGATGACAGATGGGCATGATAGAGATAGCTTTTAACGTGATGAAACATTCTGCAAAATCCCAATTTGGTAGGAAGTGCTTCGCATTTTACTACAAATTGCTTGCTTGACTTTCACAATATCTATACATCATAAAAATATCTCACCACTCCTACAATCCCCTCCCACCCGTCAGCCAACAATTCGAAAGATTTCAATGAATACAAATAATAAAAAGCATCTTATTAACTCAACTCTGAAAAAAAAAACCACATCCACAACAATAATACCCTTTGCATGAAATAGAAGATCAACTCATGCACACATCCAACCTGGAGCCGACATCACTGTACCTCAAAATATTTTCCTTAACCTCACCAAATCAATTACATAAGAAAGCGTGATGAAACTTTAATTTTTGTTGCACATCTCAATCAATTGAGACGCACTAACATTATTTGGCCCACCTGACAAATAGACTCTCTCTCGGACGCTATTAAATGAACCACGGACATCAATCAAAGGGAGCGTCAATACACTTATTAAACCTCATCACTCAAACGAATTTTACATTCAGAACACTAATAAAGTACTCAATACGCACAGATTTCAGTACCATGAAAGTACTAAACTGAAGTATGAATGTCATCACATTTCGCAATCACACACGTAGTAATTCATTGAATTGGAAGCATAATATTTATCTTCCGAAAAAAATCATTGCTTTAAAGAAACCATGCAAGTCGTGTCCGTAGTCCAACAACATTATAATCTCAAACTTTAACCTTCACTTTTATGGTCCACCCATGCATCAATAATTGCCCGTCGTACCGTTTGACAAGGCCCCATTACTGTGCCCGTTAATTAGACCGTTTGCCTTCCCATTTGTGTGAGGAGCATGTCCATTGGTTCCATTTGTGTGTCCATTGGTTCCGTTGGCATGGCCATTAGTTCCATTTGTGTGTCCATTGGTTCCGTTGGCATGGCCATTAGTTCCATTTGTGTGTCCATTGGTTCCATTCATCTGACCGGCCTTTTTCGCTGCCATTTCAATGATTCTTTCTTCTTCCATCTTCGCGTTCTCGGTGTAACCGGTGTCAGAGGCATCGACAAATGCCTCGAGTCCTTCTCCATTTCTAGGATACTCCTTCATAATCTCCTTGTGACGATGTAAAGCTTGGTTCATCTCCTCGGCAGAAACATCATTCAAGAAGGTGCATGACCCAAGAGGGTTTGGAACAGCGGCTCTGAGTTTGCCATCTCGTGTCTTGAGGATAGCAGCAGTAGCCTTTTCGAGGATCTCTTCATCGAATTGATGATGATCCATTGAAAGACCCGCACGAGAGAACAAGTTCAAGATGCGGCGATGCTCCTCATCACTCAAGAGCTTTCGTTGATTGGCAAGAGTTGCCGAGTAAGCCATATCAATGGATATCGCGTGGCCGTGTCGGAGAGGTGTTTCCGGAACAAGCTCATGCAGAGGTGACCATCTAATAATGTTAGACTTAGAAACAATTTGGAATACATAGCAGTGAACTACTCACGTGTGCCCATAGGCAATTACACGATCCAAACCAATCTCATGAAGGTTTGGTGTTTCCAGCTTTAACATTTCGTGGATACCCCCTCTGTTAATCGTATCTGCGGCATCGATCAATTCCTTAGAAGAGCCATCAGCTCGACCGAAAGAATTCTCAATGAGCTGTTCACAGTATTTGTCTAATAGATCAAAAGTGGGGAGGTGAGAGCAGGATGAAATTTTGATCAATTCGGCAAAACCATTACGTATCTGCGCAGTTGGAAGTGTACGTAAAAATGTGAAGTCAAGGAATGTATGAATGGGTGCGTGATAAGCGCCTAGTCTGTTCTTGTAGTTGCCATAGTTGACTGCAACCTTGATTGACACTGATGCATCAATCAATCCAATGACGGTGGTTGGAACACGAATAAAGTTGGTGTTCCGTCTGTATGCTGCGCAAGCAAATCTATAAATGAATAATTGTCAGATTTTATTCACATGACTTGAAGATTATTGTGATTATGCAACTCACCCAGCAACATCAGTGACAAGACCTCCTCCGACAACAAGAACTGGTTCCTACAAGTATGTTAGAACGACACATGACAACGTATCAAACGATGGATAGAGTACAAACTTTGCGATAGATTCCAAATTCGGTCATGGAATCCACAATACTCAAAAAGGTAGGAATGGTCTTTGCCTTCTCTCCAATCTTTGTTTTGTGGAATACCAGCTTGATGTTGTAGTGCTGAAAGTATTTCTCCATCTGCTTTCCGTAAACATTGTAAATGTTCATGTCAGTGACTGCTAAGCATCTTCCCCAATGGGTATAGCACTCTGCAAGATTTGGATTATCGATATTGAAGACACCATCAATGAAAGTGAAGTCATATTCAATCTTCTCATAACCTTCAACGTGGAATCCGGCATGACCAGATTTGGTTGTGGTCTCTGAAACGGTTGCTTTGAGGTCTGACATGTTGAAAAGAGTTGAATGAGAGGGATGAGATGTATTGTTGAAAATCTGGTTGCAGTTTTCTAAATAAATCTTGGGAGAGAAGTGTTTTTAAGCACCCCTCGACAGGGATAGGAAGAAGTCAACGTCACTAAGACTTTTCTATTAGCACGACTGATATTGCACCATTATAGACTATCATACACCGAGATCAAACTATGTCTCATTAGTGCACCGCAGATTATCAAACTCCTTTGAAGTAACATGTCAATATTGATCAAATGCAAGCAGTTGAGTTACGGAGATTGTTCAGCCAAACATGCGAGGTGACAATAGCCAGTCCACAAACTCAATCTATGACATTATCACCCCACGCTAACCAGGAAGGGTTCAGCCATCGAACAACGTTCCAGACTATATTGAGGTCAATTCCGAAACCAGGAACAAGCAAATACAAAGAATTTGAATTGCCGGGCGAAATCGTGGCTCTACGCTAACTTACAACGGAAATGCAACAAGCAGGCGCGAAGAGAATGCAAAGGCCAAGGATGTGGCTCGCGGCCCGCGCCTGGCATGCTAATGCTCTAGCATGAGCGAATTCCATGACCCCACGATCAGCTGGTTCGAGATCTCGGGTAGATTTAGTCCATGGTTCACCTTACACTATCTTCATAGCTTTGCTGTTCGGAAATCTTGACACTTGGTATGATAGCACAGCATCCGCATCTACCCGTTCGTACTACTTCAAGATGGAGGCGTGCGTTTGCTTATCATTTCCATTGGGGCACCTTTGCTATCTTGTAAACTACTACAAGGTAACACTTCTGTAGCTTTGTCGTATTTTGTATGCTTTCATCGAAGCACCGAGCTTTGCTCAAAGATTTGATAAACAAAGGAAAGCTCCTCGAGCTCCCCCACATAGCCTGTCACGCTAGAACAGTAGCCTGAGCCTTAGCGCAATTAGCTGCATTGATGCATGCATCCTGGGGAATATAGTTCGATATTAGAACACCGAATACGACACGTCGAGAAAGTCAATGACAACAACACCTTTCAAACTATGGGAAAATCAAGATCTGATTACGACGTCTGTGCCTAGAAATCAAGGCCACGAATCTCGGAAGATTGTATGCAGTAAGATATCTTTGTTTTCACTATGCCATTCCTAGACGTTTGTGCTAGGTGTTAGATTTACTGCTTAGCAAACAGTGACAAGAAACTTCAAGCAGCATCAACAGTAGGTATCAAATTGCCCCTCAACGCCTTTTGCAAAAACAACAATATGGCTCCATTTGACAAGACGAAGTCATATGCTTCACAGGAAGAAACATTTGTGGGTTTTCTGACTATATTTGAGTACGTTTCACTGCTAACTTTGCCCGTAGTTCGATGACGGTAGAGAAGAAGAACTTGTCGAGTTTGTGCGAAATCATCACGATCGATCTAAGATTCAAGGTTCGCCGGCGAACGTTCTCAAAGCTATCGATGAGTATGGACGAACCAAGAGATATCTCATGAATGTAGGAGAGGACAAAGGAGCTATTGTCACCAAGATAATCAGTGAAAGAAAGCCTCATATAATGGTTGAGCTCGGAGGGTATTGTGGATATTCTACAATACTCTTTGGATCAGCAGTTCGGAATGCAGGCGGAGCGAAGTATTATTCCTTGGAGAGAAGTCCGAAGTTCGCGAAAGTTATCACTGCTCTCGTGGAATTTGCTGGTCTCGAAGAATTTGTTGAAGTGATCGTTGGTCCTAGCAACGAGGGAATTCAAACACTACACTCTCGCGGATTGAAGACCATTGATATGATGTTCCTAGATCACTATAAGCCAGCATACACGACTGACCTGAAGTTATGTGAACAATTGGGCCTGATCAAAAAAGGAACAGTTCTTGCTGCCGACAATGTTATTAGTCCAGGAAATCCGCCATATCTGGAATACGTGCGAAGCAATGTCGAGGACAAACTTCAAAAGCTGAAGCGGGAGGGACAGCTGGATACTGATGGTTTTGCGAAACGATCTGCCGCTCAGTATGGCGGGATTGAGACACTAGACACTGGAATCAAAGGCAATCCCAAAATCATATACGACAGCCAATTGATCAACAGCTTCGAACCTACTGGAGAACCAGTAAGTTGCCCAGCTTCATTCGATTGAATTTTCTGACAATATTCTGGTAGGATGGAGTGGAAATAACTCGGTGTATGGGAGAAGTTGGAGGTAGCCAGTCGTAGATTTGAACGTCGGTCTGGGATCTGTTTATCTTGACAATCTGATCAGGTCTTCCTCGGGAATCGATCGAGACCGGAAGTCTTCCTGTGGATCCTCTCATTTCCCTTATTACATAGTATATGTGCGAGTGGGGCGCGAGACACCAATGTGCCAAAACGCGGCTCTTGTTGCTACTCGCCACTCTCTCGCCACTCAGTAACTTTGCGACAAGGAGTAAGGAGAATATGATTTCCAGGCGTGGCTTTACGATACAGATTATTGTAATATTGATACCATTTAACTTTGTCATGGACTGCAATAAATCGAAAGCTGTACTGCCGAGTATCCCATAGATGGATCATTACATTGAGATGCGGTAAAATTAAGGTACAGAGATCCATCCTGCTCAAAAATAGTCGCCTCAGGTTGTTTTCTACCCTAGTCGTTGAGACTTATCGTAAAGCCGATACACCGAAGCATGCCACATGTCAACCCCTCTCACCCCCTGCTCTCGAGCTCCCCTCTTCTAAAAGGGCACATCATAAAACTTCAAAAATCGACCAAGACAGATGCCTCGTTAGCATACAACACAGACCTCTTCTAAATCCAAACTTTCTGCAGCTGGCCAAGTCGAGGTTAGTTAGAAAATGCTAAAAAAAGAAAAGTCAAGCAAAAAGTAGGATGTACACTTTATTTTCCTCTTCCAAAATTCATAAATGTTTATCCACAGATCTCTCCTCATACTTCGGAATTCGGAAAAAGCTATACCAAATTATAGGACTGTGAGCTGCATCAAGAAGAGCCTGTTCGATGCAGTAGCATTGCGTCTTCATTTAAGCCTGTGTGAAAGATTGGATACGACTCTCGAATAAGAATCTGACGATGGTTATCATTTTGTGTCCCAGCCCGCCAATTACTCAGTGCTCGAATGACAACCTGACACCAACAGTTGGTGACCGAAGATTGGGCCGGCTGAAATTGTTAGCAGTTGTTACTGGGTAGGTGTTGCCAACGATAGGTGATCGGATTCAGTATCGACGGTTAGTAGCAGAACATTGCAGGTTGGGTCAAAATTGGTTGAGATGTGTGAGCGATTACAGCGAGCAATTTAAATGCCAAGAATTGGTGATTAAAATCAATCTTAATGATTGGGGTGAGATTCAATATCAACAATTGTTTTGGTGGAAAAATATTGCGAGTTGGAGTAGGGCTGATCGAAAGTCTTCGGCCAAAACGAGGGGTCCAATGCCAACGATTGGTTAGATCTACTTTGGGCAACAATAATAGTTGGCAATCTCCATTGCCAACGATTGATAATATATTTTCGAGAGGTGTCAATAGTTGACAACCTCCAATGCCAACGATCGGTCCAGATTCACTCGAGTAATGCCATCAGTTCGCGACCTCCAATGCCAACAATCGGTTAGATCTACTCGAGTAATGCCAAAAGCTGTTGACTAAGACAATCCCAAAGGTTGGCAATCAAGTATCACAAACTAATCGGATTGGAAATATGTAGTCATTATGATGAATGACTTAATCCCAACAATCGGTGATCGAGATCCCATACTAGCATTTGGTAACCGGACGGACGCCTTAGGCCAATCTAATCGACGTGAGGGCTCTCTGAGAGAGCGTCGCTAACCGACCCGCGCGTTGGGGTTTCTGATAAAGACGAGTTACCCCACCACCCACCTATCTTGAAGACTGCAATTTCTCCCCGAAGATGTTGACATCACCTCCAACGTCGGATTGGGCTCTGGCAGTATACCGGATTAGTGGACCAATTATCTATCGCCGGAATTGTGGACAGGAGCCTAAGCGGGGAATTCAATGTTGGGGGAATAGGTAGGGGGACGATATCTATGTTAGCATCGCCGTCGCCATCGCATAGACAGTGCCTTTGTTCCAAGTGATTGAATGAATTGTTAGTGAACCTCGCTCCAGAGTTGTTATCTTGATGTGCGCGAGCTGTCTGCATCGCCGTCAGCGACGATTTCTTTCAAACTTTCTCATCCGCTCATATGTGAATTGTTCTGCAGACTGACAAAGTCAACCAACAAGACTTTCTGAAGCAACGGTTTGAGCTGTGGGTTAGCACATGAGCATTTGTCTATTACGGACACTATCCAGGATAGCGCGAACTTATTGCAAGATCGATGCCGTTCGTATTTGGAGCCACAATGTTGGACCTGATTGATATGCACATAAGCTGATCACGATTAATGGAGACAAGGCCAACGCCAACGTTGGGATTACCACCTAATTTCTACCTAGGCTAGACTATCGAACCATCAATCCCATTCATATTTGAATCCATAATACCCAATATAATTGACACATACGTAAGCTGATCATGATCAATGGGGACAGTATCAACGCCGTCGTTGGGACTCACACCTAGGCCAGGTTATTGATCACTTGCAATGACAAAGGTCGGAGGTCAATATAACGTCTACAGTGCACTTTCCTTTTCTTCAAATTTTCGGACGTAATCAAAAGGCATCAGACGAGGCAAACTCAATTTTCGTTTATGAACGATCCCGTTTCGTCTATATTGTAAGCCATTATGAATCCGAAGCTAGATCCTAACACCAACATTCCTTTTTTCGACACAATTCTGTCCGTCCGTTGTCTTTGAACCCAGCAAAATTCACGCGCTAATATATCAATTGACTGCCCATTTCCTCCCTCGTCCAAGTGCAAGAAGATGCGAGCTAATGTATAATCGTCATCGTACGCGCCGATGCACCCTTCCATTGACCATGAGAAACATGCACTTAGAGAACAAATGCCCTTCCCCGCGTGAGCCAGCCGATATGCGCACCCCGGCCCTGCTTCTTTTCATGTTGAATCTTATCAAGGACCGTTACAAAGTGGCTAACTTGCCAGCTTGGTAACGACATAGACAAGGCTGACATAGGGAACACATTGTACCGAACTCCATTGCTCTCTTCGCGCCAAGCCTCTGAATGACCCCAACCTTTAGTAACTGCAGATACGAGCCAAATATCCACGTTCTCAAATGCCTTTGAAAATTCTCTCAAGCTTTCGACATTCGATGTCCAGCCGTCAATACCCCGTATCAATATGACACATTTAGTACCCTCGGGGGTGGCTCTGACACCGTCGATGATACGTTCTCGGTCTTTGTCGATTACGTTGTCCCCATTGGAAGACACGTTGTATCTTGCGGATGCGGTGCTGGATAATCCATTGAATCCAACAACTGTCGGGTTCTCGCTGAAAGTAACTGCGAAACACTTCTTAAATGATTCGAAGGATGCTAAACCATCTGTCAGAAGCCTTGGTCTTGGTCTTCTTCCTGAGCCATTGCTGGTGTTCCTACTAATCACAATCATCTGACCCACATTGTCTAAGGAATCCTGAAACGATGTCCCAGTGGAATTAGTAAGGCTCAAGCTCCTCCAATTCTGTTTAACCACGGCTTCGCTCTCAACTTCGACATTTTCGTCATCTTCGGGAGAAGAATCGCTAGAGTCGTTAACATCATCTAGTTGCTCGTCTTCTAACAAACACTGTATTTTCTCCAGGACACCATATCTTCGTGCAAGAGCGATGCCGGCGGAGAGCGGGATATATGTACCAATGAGGATTCGGGAGTTCATAACAATTTCATAATCTTCTCCAAGGTGAATTCTTCTCATTTCTCCATGGCGATGCCCAGGATTCAGGACCAATGCTAGAATTTGGGTTGCGTTGAGCCAGCTATCATTCAAACGCTTAGAAACGATATTAGCACCACACGAACTTATCAAGTAAGTTTTGTTTTCGTGTGATTTGGTCCTAAGCTCCCCATTCCTTAAGCTCCTTGTCAGTAATTTTGAAATATCCTCTACCTCGGCCTCGTCATCAAACGGCATATCATGAACCAAGAGACCTCCAACCAGATCAATGACATTCCACTCCTTGGCAATTTTGATAGCCTTATGGTAAGGAAAATACCATCCATTGAGGTGACTTGTACCCATCTTCAATTCTTCACCAATCCCCTTTGTGTATCTTTGAATGATGGCATTGTACTCGGCGGATGAGGCACCAGCGGCGAGGATTACCTGGCTACCATTGATCCAATTATTGGCAACATTCCGAGAGATGAAGCACCGCGACGTCTTGATCGAAATGAAATTGCGCCCCTTCCTGGAGATGGATTTAGGCTCAGCGTCGGCTTCGGAGTAGAATGTGGCCTTGTTAAACTCCAGTTTGGGTCTCATGTCACCACGAGCATCGAGAAGATCTTTGGTTTGGTCGTACAAGCCGAGTTCATGAATCCTATCCAACACTGCGTTTTCTAGTGGCATGTAAGTGCCCGAGATTCCTGATCTCATGTTAATAACTTCGTAGGCGCTAACGACCTTTTTCAATTTATCAATTTCCATGTGCTTGAAATGCTTAGCTGTGACTATGGGATTGTACAACGCCAATATCGAAGTGATGTTGACCCAATCATCATCTTGACGTTTGGCAATGATGTTGCCTCCGATTGCAAGCTGCCAATAATACGACCCGCGGTCGGGGACAACGTAAAGCTTATTCGTATGCGACGTGTTCTCAGACGGTTTCATCGTTTGGCTGTCATCGATATCGTTCAGAAGCTGAGCTTCCATCTTGACCCGCTTATGACTAGATTGTCGAGCGTCGTCGACCGCAGATCGGCTGACACTCATGGTTGGCAGCTTTTCCTGGATCATTCGCTTGGTGCTTTGCTTGACACAATCGTCGTCGTCGGTATTCTTCTCAAAGCCTAGAACGCATCGCTCAACAAAGTTCGCTCTCGCACCTCCATCTGACGTATGTTCTGATAGTGCCTGTTCGAAGTCGATGAATTGGCCGGCAAAAAGAAGCTCAAGGCGAGATAAAGTATAAGTCTCCATCGTGTATGCCTGCGATTGAATCAGTCAAGAAAATCGTAAGACGAGCTTTTACTTCATGAATTGGGATTGCATTGCATACCTTGGTCAGTAAATCGGACACATAGAGTTCTGTCGAGCTGGTCGTTCGGTGGCGGAACAATTGTAGATCGTTGGGATGAATGAGCAGAATTGGAACAGTATGAATTCGCATTCAATCATTGGTCGTCATCATTGACCATGAGTGATTGAAGCCGACGAGTTAACGACTTGGTGGATAAAGTATTGCGTCACCTCAGTCAAGGCCTCGTCTTTGATCGATAACGATGAAGTATCTCCACGTTGGAGATTAAAACAATGGTACTAAACACAATAAGTACAAACAAACTCTTCGAAGAACCATAAGAATCGAAGGATTTCATGGGGAAGATGAGATATATGACAAAAAGAAAATATGTGAAGTAAAAAAAAGGAAATTAAGGATGGATTGTTCGGAGGAATTTATAATGGGAGATGGGAGAGTTGAAAGTGGAGCAAAGGAGGGGAAGAGGGAAGGAGGAAAGAGGGAAGGAAGAAAAGGGGGAAAAGTATAGACATGCCTTCCGAATTGAGCAGGCGCGCGAGTTTTCAATTTTTGCTATCATCAGCTTCACCATCACTTCTCAGGTAAAATTTGGAAACAGTACCATCTTTTACACTAGAAACATGATTGATCACGGAAATCCCTTGATAGTATAAAGTTGCCTGTCATTTAAAGTATGCCGAGACATGTAAAAATCTCTTCATGAATGCCAGTTAAATCCACTCGGAACTACTTATCCTCCCCGAGTTCTTACTCCCCATGGTCTCTTAATTCACAGTTGTACCATTCTACACAGACAAAACTTCTTATGGAAACAAAACAGATCCAAAAATCAAAAGGCCTCCAGTCTTACAGCCAGCATCGCTACCCCTCATGATTACCTATAACGACTAGGGATGCAAGTAGACTTTGCCTTATCTTATTTGGAAGAGAATGTTTCCGGATATCTGCACCGATGTTCGGAAAGTTTTGATGCCATTCATCTTGCCAATGATGAATACTGCGCACGCCTTACAACTTGTAGCCCGGGCAAACATCACGCATGGTTGATTGCCCATGGGCCATTCTTCAAAACCATATGATCAGGCAATTAATTGCACACAAGACCTGACCAAAATACATTCGGTTGATACAGGGCTCCGTGCTAACAAAGCATAAACCCTAGGCACCTATAGAGAGAAGGTTGACTTCTATATAAAACGATCGAAACTACGAAACAATAACCAGAGGCACTTGCTGGTCCCGAGGAACTCCACCGTGAGTTATCATCGTCTTCGAACTTCGCGTAACTCTTTACTTCCACAGTCAAAGGTTCTCAAGGTGAAATAGCAGCCGATGGATTTAGACGAAATCTATCGTGAGGATAGTTTCTACATCAGTATGCAATCGACTTGCCGATACTGGAACCAAAAGAGAATTTTTGTGGGGACAATCTCCGTATTGTCAATCTCATTTCTTCATTCTTGTCTTTCCAACAATAGAATTCTCCCTTTTACTTCTACCTACTTTTCAAACCAAGATTGCGTTATCAGATTTCAGTGCCGTTATATACTCGACAAAATAGGCTGTTGTAATGGAGCTAGCTTTTGAACGAGTAATGAAGTAGCGGCAACTGCCTTATTTATCAGGTGCCGTTTTCATACTAATGTGAACAAAAAAAAAAGGGCAAAAAGAATGGATGCCCACTACTGGAATCGAACCAATGATCTTAGCATTTCCGTATTCGGGGATACGCTGATGATTGTTAGTTATGTTCTGTTTTATCTGATGGTGAAATAACTTACAGTGCTACGCGGTACCACTGCGCCAAGTGGGCTGTTGAAGCTAAGTTTTTGATGTCGGAGGTGGTGAAAATAAAATATACATCACAATTTTTCAACGTCAGTGCGGGGCATTGCACGCAAAGAAGCCGTGCCGCATCGGAAATACTCAGTTTGACTTGATGGTAATCTTGATTGGTAGGTGATATTTGATTCAATATGTTTTCTTCTCTCCGATAATTTTATACATATCTGAGTACGGTTAAACAAGCGTAAGATCCTGCCAAAATCTGCTGATGCTTATTAACTAAGTTGCATACTACTAAGCGTAGCTCGGTTCTCAAGAAAATTTTCAAACCTTTTTCAAACTCTTTTCACGCCAGACAAAAATCTAGGAATACGGTTATGCTAAGATCATTGGTTCGATTCCAGTAGTGGGCAAATGTTGCTTTTTGGCATTTTGATCTTGGATGGTGAACATGTTTCTTCACTTAGATCCAAGGATGAATATTCAAACATTTATTCTTGCTTTTTCGTCTTACCTTTAACCTATATTTCATTATCTTTTTGATCGATCCATTACTCTGAACCAACCCCTCGATAAAAGTCAAGGGTCCCACCTCGCACATGTGGGCCTAAGACTCAAGAGTCAAGACATGCATGAGCTCGATTCTGTCTGGCGGACGATCATGTGATATCCAATTCCACCTTGCACACACATCATGTACATGTACAGTGTATGTACATTGTAAGAACAGGTGGTCCTTCCGCGACTCAGTTCAACAAACGTGGAATCTTTTGTTTGGTGTATTTTCAGACCTTCTATATCGATCGTTCTTCTTCGAGGAGGAGGTTTCGCAGTTATGACCTTGGTTTTGGATTTGAAATCCGTGCTTCATGGTGATTGGTTGCACCAGAGACAGAACATGTCCTCCTCAGTTCGTAATGCAGTTAAACAAGTGTAAGATCCTGCCAACAAGTAATTAGGCTGCTAAAAACAGCTGATATTCATTAACTAAATTATGCACTACTAGGTGTAGTTCATTTCTTAAGAATTTATCCAAACCTTGTCCACAACGGACAAAGCGCTCCGGCCCGGAATAATTGACTGCGCGGCGAAGAAACAATTGTCTCCCGTATACCGATTCCGATGTGGTCGGTTCCCTGATTTGACTCTAGAAAATTTAGTTGGAAGTCAAAACGTCAACCTTAAGGTAGGGCTTAGGAACGACCCAATGCCCTTTGATGATGGGCGCAAGGTCTCTTCGATTGCAAAAGCTTTCCTCTACACAGTCCTAGCTTTGACCCTGGAAGTAGAAATATTTCTGCTCTCTCAATACTTGGCTCCTAGAATGAGGGACTGATCTACCTTGACAACGCAAAGAGAATTTCCCAAATTTGGTTCTCTGCAGAATAGCCTAAGTATTCGTGATATTTCACAGTCCTCAAATCCTTTCCTATCAAGTCCAACATCCTTTTGCGTGGCTTTGTACTTGAATTCCCGAGACTCCGAATTTCATGGGCCACTGCCTAACCTCGTCGTGTATACCCATATCTTATTCTGCTGCAACTCGGAAAGTTAGTTTACTTTAGCTCCATACCATATCTGCCTCTGACTTCCAATCCCGATGACATAGTTGTCCATCTGGCTTTCACTTCCCACCCTTTTGTGCTCGGACTATACCGCGCTGGAATTCTATGCCATAAGAATTGCCATTTGATTGTTTGATTCTATTTTAAAATTTCCAAAGTCCTATTCTGTATTGTAGTTTCGTAGTTCTTCTTGTTTTCAAATATTTAGAGGCACTGTGTATTTTCAGGCATGGGATATTGTTGTCTGGTTGTTGAACTTGGATTGAGAAATTGAAATGTCTCTCGTAAACGCAAAGATGATTTGCTTTTCCTGTCAACCAGAGAAGGATAGCTAGAGTTTTTCACTTGATGCCAATGTCAACGCTATGCTGGATCGCATCTAGGCTGTACTGATGAGGTATACACAGCATGCCAATGAAACAGCAACCGCGTCGTTCCTTTTTCTGCTTGAGGTATATTGCGACATGAAAGTTGACCAAAATTACAGGCTACCTTTCAATGGCAAGGCTTTTACAGAGATAAGAAACTTGTATTAGTATGATGATAATGATATGATGTATATTTCCTTTACTCGCAGATGGAACATATTCGGATTCTTTGTATTTTCCCTTTGTTCTACTTGAAGAAGGATGAACATCTCAACTACGTGATTCAAATAAGCAATAGCACTCAAATTTTCGGCGAACTCCTCTGCAATAAAGAACACATCCATTTGTTACATGTATCTTTTCGAGGCTCCCAGTATTCGTACATGTGCCACTCATTGCCGACTCTCTGTGCACCCTAGGTGATGGGCGGAATCACGCATCGTTGACACACCTCAACAGATCACTCAATCTTTCCAGACTGTTACATGTAGTATTCGATCATGTTACGATATCCCGCCGCTGGGCTGTGGTAATATGTTATTCTATGATCACTGATCTGATAAATGTTGGTGTTTCGCCAGTTCACCAAACAAATATCATTTTGTACTATTGAATGGTGAGATCTCAGAAATTTGGATTGATGGTCTGCACTTCTCTGGGATCATCGTTCGAGATATCTTAGCTGTTAGAAGAAGTGTGATTATCATTCATAGTATTTTTGTATCTAATTCAACATTTCCAAGCTGTCCGTTGCTGTAGATCATGCTTCTTGCAGGGAATCATGCAATGCGTTCTACACGCGGTGCCGCATGAGTAAGGGGAGATATACGTGAGAGCTAGCTTTTATCTCTCTTAACTAGGGATCGATATATGTTCAGCTAATGCTAGTTAAGCGTTGTCCTGTACATAATAAATTGTTTCTTCCACTCTCGTCGCGCATCATTAGCCCCGTTTGTGTGGCATCGAAGCAAAAACATTTATCTAGCATGTTTGAAGTGAGCATCGGAGAAGCTCCATCGATCGGGTACATTCACATTTTACTATAAACATTTAATCTACACGAAGCTATGAGTGTGGTTATGGTAGCAGCACTTGCACGTCGAGCAGGTGATGTTGTGAGAACAAGCTTGTATGCTATAGACGCTCGATATCGAGATGTCCAAATCGCCATTTTATCAGCTTCCTCGGAACCCAATGTTAGGCTGCGCAACGGGTACCCACGAGTCTACGAGGCGTAGAATGGCTTGGACAGATAATCCGCAGATGGCTGTCGGCGGCGCGGATAATTCAAAATCTGCAGATTACTTATGAGGGTCCACCAGCCAGTTTATTGTATAATATTAGTATAAATCTATGCTTGAATCACTGTTAGGTCTGGGAATAGCTTCAAATTTAATGGAAGTGAGATCACAGATAACCCTCACGGGTATAGAGGATTTCCGCGCAGCCATTCAGTAGAAGGACTTTGAGGCACAATTTATCCTAAGATTTACAAAATTTAAACGAGATACGACACAAGAAGATGATATCATTCATCTTGCTCCTCTTGATAAGGAAGAAGTTAACTACATGCGCCCTCTGGCCTTGTTGATTCAACATTGTCTTGGGAATGGATTGGTAAGTCCTGGGTAGGCTGTGTAAAAGTTATCTGTACAGGGCGTGTGATCTGCAGATAGTCCACCCCGCGGGTACCCGTTGCGCAGCTAACACCATCGATAGCAGCAGTCTTAAATCACACGGAAGCGACCTTGGCCAAAGGAACCACGAGATACTATGTACTTGTGTACAACGAACGTGTAAAGGCGATGCTAATTCTGAGAGGAGCACCTAAGATTGCAAGTGAGCCGGTATTTGATATCTATTGAGCATTTGTATCTCCCAAATAAGTTCAAGTATATCAAAAGAGGAATAGCTAACTGATCATAATCTATTATTTCTCAATTCTATATGCAATGCACGAAAAGCAGTTAGACATGCTCGCTTACAGGGCACATGGGAAGCAGTTAAAGCCATCGGCATCGCCACCGCCAGTCTTGTAATACCTGAAATTGTTCTCAAGGACTTATCGACTAACTCAAAGATGCTTCTTCCAAAGGGTACCATGAAAAATATACCAATTTCAGATACCGTTCCTCCTTGGCTGCACAAAAACCATCTGCACACGTGTGTAATTTGCAGATAATCCGCTCCGCGGGTTACCCTTCCCATATTTTGAATTTCCCACCCTGCCGACACGTTATTCGCGGATTATCTATCAAGGCTATCATCCACCCCGCAGGCACCCGTTACGTAGCCTAGTCACTTCAGCGGCAAAGTATCATAACCTAGCTAGCCTTTCATGCCAATATTGATCCTTAGCTGTTGGCCAACGAACAGAATCCTGTGCACGTAGCCGAAGGTGAGAGTTATATGGTGGGCCCTACATTTGTTCTGGATGGAGATGAATTGAAGCAGATTGAAGTGTCTACCACAGAGTTATACAGGCATCATACTGTTGAGTACCGTGTACTGGAAGATGTTTATGAAGCCTGAAACAGGAGTAAAGCAAAAACATAGTTATATTAAAGAAGAGTAATAGCCTCCTTAGCAACAGTTTCGATAGTCCAGACTACAGTCACACGATGAATGATTCTGAATGTTTGAATTTACTTGATGTGCTGAACACTATTGAAATACAAAAATGATTTGATAAATTGATATCCTGAAATCCCTTCGTTAATGGTAGCTATACTTGAGGATTTATACTTACTTTCTACATCCTGCTAAGAGTCAAGTTGACGGCTACTTCAGGTGGGTGTTGAAGCGCCTTGCAGAAGTAAATGTCGATGGCAGGCATATGTAGCATATCAACTTCATAAGTTCTCAATTTTTGAAAGACTATGTATGATGTGCCTTGAGCGAGATCCAACATTCCCGCTAGCTTAGTATTTTGCTCCAGACAGATCTGATACATTCAATGTATCTCAATGTATCGAATGAAACTTGAGCCGAGCTAACTTCGATGTGCTAGGGAGAAAAACAAATATCCAATAAATGAGAAGACCATAAGACTAGGTGAGTGAGGTCGCCAAAGGATTCAAGATCATATTTGAAGAAGATAGAACAAGGAATCAGATTACAAATATCTCTAGCTACCTATACCAGCTAGATGCTTCTTTGCTCAGGCAGTACTGATGTATGACACACAGCAGATGAAAGAAGTTGTACACCAAGTAAACCTTTTAGTAACGTATATATGTTCTATTTTGAATTTGATGATTTGATGTCTTCAACATTTCAGATTAGATTATATATTTCAATACTTTTAACATTCTGATCTGAATTTGATAATCAGATGTTGTTGATGTTTCAAATGAGATCAAATGTGTGAATACCTTCAATAATCAGAATCAAGTTCAACATTCAGATATTATTGATATTCAAAATGAAATTAGACATTTGAATACTGTTGATATTCGAAATCAGATTCGATATTTGAGATAGACATGGGAATCTGTTTTGGTATGTCGTTTATTATGCTTCACGACAATTATTTATTTTACTTAATATAATTATAATCGAGCTCTCGTCCATCACAAAAGACCTCTGAAACCGGTTCGGTTGTATGGTGTAATGGTTAGCACGTCGGATTCTGATTCCGGAGATATTGGTTCGATTCCTATTACGACCTTCTCACACGAAGGTTGTTTGCTACTTCAGTTCGACCCTGAAGTGCAGCCGCGGTCCAGCTTTTTTGCCGTTTTTTTAATTCTATTTTTCGCAGCTATGTGTCCGTCCTGACCTTTCGCGCGTTGTGGAGATGTTGAATTTTTCCTCCTAGTGTATAGATCCACTTTTACAAGCCTAGCAGGTGCAGATGCATGTGTCATATTACGTAATCTAGATAGACCCCGCGAATCGGCCACAATTTTTTCTCGAATCTTTTAGTGCGGGCACCCTTTGTATTTTTGATTTCTCATGCGCCTTAAGCCGATCATTTGATAATTTATTTCTCCCAGCTGTCTATCTCTTTAAAGACCACCATATTTCTACCACAACACCATTTAGGATCATATTCAAGGAAACATATCAAAATGGCTCCATCAGCAACATCTCCTGCTCCAGAGGAGAGTACTACAATCGCTACCATCCTCAGTTTGCGCAAAACCCTTTGCTCAGAAACCCAACCTATCGGTCTCCGATTCCGCGCCCTCTTTTCTCTTAAACATTTCGCATGTATGCCATCTTCACCCTTGAATGTTCCCGCCATCGAAGCCATCGCAGCTGCATTTGCCTCTCCATCCGCGCTCTTGAAACATGAGCTTGCGTATTGCTTGGGTCAGACCAGGAACCTTGAGAGTTCCAAATTCTTGAGAGGGGTATTGGAGAATCGAGAGGAAGATAGTATGGTTAGACATGAGGCTGCTGAGGCTTTGGGTGCTTTGGCAGATAGAGATTGTCTGCAATTGCTCAAAGAGAGGAGGGATGATCCCAATGAGCCGGTTGAGGTTAGGGAGACATGCGAATTGAGTGTTGAGAACATCGAGTGGGCACATTCGGACGCTGGTAAAGCAGAAAAACTACGACAATCGTGAGTGAACCTTTCATATGTTTCAGAAGAACAGAACATGCACATAGCAGAGGTAGCGTAGCGATACGCTCCGATCTTCAAATGTTTGAGAGATTTCTTCCTTAACTTGCTTCGGATTCTTTTTGCATTGCGTTACTGACAATATCTTTAACTATAGGGACTTCGCATCCATTGACCCTGCTCCACCAACCGCAGAAGAGAACTCAGAATCACTATCGGTCGAGAAACTTGAGGAAACCTTTTTGAACACAAAAGTTCCTCTATTCATTAGATACAGAGCCATGTTTGGTCTCCGGGATCTTGCATCACCCCCAGATCTTCCTACCGCCGTCCCTGCTGTTCTTGCCTTGGCTAAAGGTCTTCACGACAAATCTGCACTTTTCAGACACGAAATCGCTTTTGTTTTTGGACAATTGTCTCATCCAGCATCCATTCCTGCCCTTACTGATTCTTTGAGTAATTTGGAGGAAGTCAGTATGGTCAGACATGAAGCGGCCGAGGCTTTGGGAAGTTTAGGTGACGAGGAAGGCGTCGAGGATACACTTAAAAAGTTCTTGAACGATAAGGACTCGGTTGTGAGAGATAGTGTCATCCTTGCGTTGGATATGGCGGAGTTCGAGCAGAGCGGAGAGACCGAGTATGCGCTGATCCCAGAGAAGGAAGCTGTCGCAGCCGCATAAGTCTTTATTTTTTTCCAAATAAACTCGTCGTATTTATTCTACTAAAATAGACGGCTGGTGCCAAAGTGCTTGGCCCATTAAAATATCACAATTTCTTCCTACCAAACACCAGATAAAAAGTCTCCCATACCATATGATATACAATTCGTGAATCGTGAAGTAATATGTCCATGCGCCATGCGTCGCAAATCAATTGTTCTCGGTCCACCTAGTATATGTCAGTAGGGAAGAAACAATTGTATCAATACAATGCAAACTTACTTGTTTCCACAGGTACAGTTGTAGAAAATGGTACTTCCTTCATCCGCACTTCTCAATTGTACTGCTGTGAATCTGACCTCCTTTGCGCCGCATTCTGGGCATGGTGTTTTACTCATTGCTTGATTCTCATAATCAGACTTCTCTACCGTTTGAACGACTGATCTTTTTTGGCGCAATACTGAGGGGAAGGATGCTTCTTTCGTTCTCGTCTCGATTGTTTGTGAAGCAGTATCTAGAAGTAAAGTTTGATCAGTACTATTCACTGTGACAATGACAAGAATCAAATTGCGCGTACCTTTATTTTCTGCTCCACAGCAATCGCATGTTAAAATAGTATTCTTATTACCAGTAGAACTTTCCAACAGATTGCCACAATCCGTACAAAATACTAGAGATCCAACTGCAGACATCTTGAAGTTCTGTTTGATTGTCAAGTTTTGAAGATTTTGGTGTTTTGATGTTTTTTGGTGCTCCTCAAAAATAAATTTCTACACCTGCAAGGTATGCATGCAAGGCCCAAAGTCGAAATGAAAAAAAAGCCGCTAGTGACGGCCCATCCAATCCAGATCTTTAGCGCAAGGCTGCCTACATAAGTTGTAACGGACGGCTACTAATAATAATATTCAATGGTGATGTCGAATTGGTCGTTCGTCGACAACCTTTATTATGCTTCAAGGGAATCAGTATGTCTTGCGGATAACGACTTTGGACTGTACAACGATATGATCTTGTAAATTGATTCTATTGGATCTTTAATATCTCATCACAGCTCTACGAGCCTTCCGGCCTTGCGCCCATCCACGCCTCACTACGCCGAACAAGTTCACCATGGATTCAAGTAATGGATATGGCTATGGCTACGGTTATAACTACCAGAATGGCCATAATGGGACAGATGGCGCGTCTTCCACAAGTGAAACCCGTCAAATGAGGCCACGACCATTCACCGTCGACGAAGCTCTTCCATATTCACCTTTTTCCTCTGTCGTTCCCTTCAACTCTGGTACCTTGCCTTCTCTTCACTTTCAAACCTATCCTATCCCCAATTACTATTATCAGGTTTCCTAACAACACTGAATTTACAGATATTATTCCATTACCTACAATAGGACTCGGTTCTTCCTCTTCATTATTTTCAAATGCAGCAGAAATTCATCAAGGCAGAGGAAGTCTAGAAAGCTTGAACGCCGAAGCAACGAACCCATATCAGACCTCGCAGCGCCTGCAACGAACTCTGAAAGACCTTGAACAGTTGCTTAAACCAGAAGACCATACAATATAGTAAGTTCGAAATCCAGCAAACAATTTGATCTGACTGACGTGCAAAAAAGCAACTTCAAGATCGGACCAAAGATCGCATCACTTCCTGATGCTACTCCATTGAAACCAAGTCTTTCACCCTTTGCGCAGATGCTATACGAATCAACTAAAGTGGAGTATAAGACTGCGGAGCGTCTAGAAGTGCCAGCTATGAGGCATAGAATCCAGAAGCAGAGAACTAAGTCGCAGTCGAAGTCGAGAAATCCAAGTAGCAGCTATGGGAATACGAATTTGCAAGCCCATACTGCGAATATAAACGCTACTATATTTCCTGAAGCCACTACTACGAAGCCTGCTGCTGAACATGCGAATGTCGCGCCTAAAGCAAAATCGCACATCGCGGTCGAAATTCCTTTGCCAAAGGCAATTGCGCCTATTCACAAACAAAGTCCAAGCCCTGCGTCAAATTCACATGTCATGAAGATCAGTCCCAAAATATCGCATATTCAATCATCGGTTCCTCCTCCACAAGTTGCGCCATCCGCGTTTCAGGATAGCAAGCAAAGTCAGAATATTCCGTCTTCTTCCTCACAACCAGGTATATCCGTTGTCATTCCGCAATCACAGATAAAACCAGAAGAATATAAGGTTGTAGAACCTCTTCCAGACTCGCCTGAAAGTCTTGCCAAGAACCGAAGACGGGCGGGCTCCGATGAATATGAAGGGAATGTCTCTGGAGTGATCGACCAAAGAGAGAAGGCTGATATTGCCGCGCGAAACCTTCGAGAATATCTTCAAGACGTTTTCGAAGCCGAAAATCAATTCCAGCCTGAAACTAATACCTCTAGCAATTTCCTTATTTCGACGAACGAGGGAATTGGCCTTGCGGCTAATACTCAAACGCGACTCGAGGGCCTCTTGAACAGAATTATTGAGGTTGGCAGAATCAAACAGGTTCCCTTGGAAGACTTGATTCGAATTCAAAAATTGTCTGAAGCTGCTTTAAAAGAAGCCGAGACACTCGACTTGAAGATCGACGAGGAAATGGGAGAGTCAGATGTCGAAAGTTTGTTTCTACAGATTTCGAATGCAGAACTTGGACTCAAATCTGCTCGCACCTCGCTCAGAGTTATGACTGGCGGGCGTGACGAGAAGCAGCTGTACTCAGAAGACCTAATTCAATCCGCTCTGAATGCCTTTAAAAACATCATGGAGAATTTCATAATTCCAATTGTGGAACTTCGCAGCACGGGGTCGACTTCAACATTGTTCAAGCTACTTTCTGCCCAGAAGAAAGCCATTCTTAATTTACTTGCTCAGTGCAGACGCCTTTTGTCACTCATGGCAGTTCTCGTGGCCAATATTGATCTATCTGAAACGGTCATCAACAGTCTTGAATATGCAGCCTCCAAATTGATATTTGTCGAGAACGCTCATGCAGAGAAAGACTCCGTACTTGGTATCCCTAAATTCGACAATCTTAGAGTCATAGCGATGGATGTGCTTGCACAAGTATTCAACAACAACCCAAAAGAAAGAGCAGAAATCTTCAATGAAATTTTGACATCCTTGGAGAAGCTTCCTGTTACCAAACAGAGTGCTCGACAATTTAAATTGGCGGATGGGGGAAGCATTCAACTTGTCTCGGCATTAATTATGAAGCTGATTCAAACAAGTGCCAGCAAGACGGATGATGCGAAAGAGAAGCGAAGACGCAAGGCCCAAGATGCTCTAACTGGAGATGATGAGGGCCAAGAGGATGGAATCAATGATGCTGATAATCGTCGGAGATACGATACAGAAAGAAGAGCAATCGAGCAGAACGTCACAGCGATCCAAGAGCTGAAAGACTGCGGAGCTTCACTACTGGAGAGTGCGACACAGAACACGGGATATGTGGTCAATTTCATTGTTAGTAGAGCAATTAAATCTACGAAGAATGGCGATACACCATACCGGAACCTGCTAGATCTCTTTGTCGAAGACTTTGTTACATGCTTGAACTCTCCGGACTGGCCTGCTGCAGAGCTGCTCTTACGCTTATTCCTCTTTAAAATGGTCCAGCTCGCTGAGGCGGAAAAAACACCTGCTCCTGCCAAGAACATGGCCCTTGACCTTCTTGGGTCAATGGGTGCGGCAATCTCGGAATTGCACTTTCATGTTCGAAAGAGTGCCGCCTCGCTTGAAAATCGAGATGGACTTATGGGACAGGCTCTTTCAAGAATGGTTGAGGAATCACTTAAACACGAAGCAAATACTCACGAGATCTTGACATGGGGTGGACCTTACTTCATGTGCCTAGATTTCATGGAAGACCGCTGCTCTGCTGATCCTCAGCTAGCAAGCAGTATTTCCCTCATGATTGTTGAATGGGCTTCAAAATTGGCAGACGAATACGACAATATTCTTGACAGTGATCCTGATCACGAGCGCATCGAGGAGAGCTATGGTAAAGTGGCATACCGAATTAGAATGATGATTACAGATAAGAAGTGGTTTTCTACAGAATATGGCCATGGCTCGGTTGACCCTAGTCATGCCCGCTTGGCTTACTCTGTGACTTTGTTGCATTCAACCTTTTGCACATCTTTCGGTCGTGTGCTTGATATTCTACTTCGATCAATGTTCAGCGAACAAGCTACCGTCAGAAGTAAGAGTCTGAAGAGTGTAAACCAGGTTCTGGAAACAGATCCAACCATTCTTGAAAGAGAGCCCACCGCCAAGCAAATGATTTTGAGGTGCTCGAATGATCCTTCCGTAGGTGTAAGGGATTCGGCATTGGGTCTCATTGGAAAATGCATCTCATTGGTACCATCCCTTGAGGTGGAGATGACTCCTAGTATTCTTCACCGTGTCAATGATAGTGGGGTCGGTGTTCGAAAACGAGCTATGAAACTACTAAAAGACATCTACTTGAACAACACCAATAAAGATGTCAGGGCTTCAATTGCAGATGCTATCCTTTACAGGGTCACCGACCTTGATGATAGTGTTCAAGAATTGGCTCGGTCAACAATCGAGGAAGTTTGGATGTTACCTTTCTACAAAATAACTGGATCTGAAGATACATCAGTCCAAGCAAAACTCGCCATATCGGACCACGTCACCTTGATCATCAAGACGGCTCAAAGACAAAATGGAACCTCTGGTGTGTTGGACAAAGTGCTCCAAAATCTACTTTCACCAAAGTCGAAATACCCTGACGCCAACTTCAAGGTCTGCAAAGCACTTGTTGCTGCTATGTTTGAGACAATTATTGATAATGCCGCTTCCGAGGATTCCGAGGCACCAAACATTCGAGAATCTCTGGAAGTGCTCACCATATTTGCCAAGTCCAACGCAAATCTATTCACAGCTGATCAAATCCAATTGTTACAGCCATATGTTGCAAACGTCGGTAGTGGTGATGAAGCTGCTATCTATCGTTCAGTTGTTATCATATTCCGCTATGTCCTTCCTAGTTTACCCAAGGTTCAGCATGGTTTCCTCACTGAGATCAGGAAGCATCTCTTGCCAACTATGACACGCAGTCCCAAATCTATTTTAGATGACATTGTTGCATGCTTATGGATCATTAGTAGTGTTCTTGACGATTATCATAACTTAACAAGAGTCGTATTATCTAGTTTGGCTGGTATTCAGAAAATGAAAACCATTGATTTGAACGATCCGAAACGAGCTGATCTTGTTAAGAAACTGACAAAACTTCTACTTATTTGTGGCATGTGTGGTAAGCACTGCGACCTTGATCCTCAGCATGAGGTTTTCAAGGAGAAGGAGTTTCCAAAGATGAAAGGCAATTCGGTTTCAAAACTGATGGTTGATACATTTGCCCCATTTGCGACTCCTTCTCAGCCTATGGAAGTTCGGAAGCATGCGCTTGATGCAATGGGTATGGTTTGTCAATCTTGGCCGAAGAACTTTTCCGCCGCTAATGTTTACACCACGTTCATCCAAGTATTTAGTGATCAGGATTTGGAATTGGAGACGATCGTGATGAGAGCCTTTAAAGAATATCTTTCGATTGAGGAAAAGCGATCAGAAGAAAGTGGAGATGGTGCGGTCGGCACTGGTACAGATTCAAAGGCAAAATTGGGTGTCATGGGCGGCAGTCAAGGTGACGGTGTTGCATTGGACATCGCACAGAGAT